AAATGGAGGAGAGATGGTGCCTTTGTTACTACTTTTACCCCTCCCATGATTACAACGTGTTCATTAACTCTGGGTCAGATTCATTTAGGTGAATAAAATCCGGTTTTTTATTGGTTGTCAAACATATTTCATTTAATACAGTGCTGCTTTTTGCTTCTTTTTTTCATAGTCAGCGGCAGAGACAAAATAAAATGTATCAAAATGTCATAATAATGTCTGCAAATAAGGTTTTATAATTTCAAAATGTTGCACTTCTCGTGAAAATGACTGGTCGTCTCTTTGCATGTTAAAAATGATGATGCGTTTGTTACTGGTTTTAATAAAATGAACTAAGTGGGTTAGTGAGTGTAAGTAATGAAAGAAAGGCATTGAGGAACTGAAATTACTGCAAAGATATATTGTGGTTGCAACTCGTGGTTATTACTCTACTACCGCCGGTCTGATGATAAAGAAAATAACGTTACTAATCAACAGACTAAACAAAGCAAGAAGCAACTATAAACCCAAAGAAGCAGTACAGAAGAACAATGGTTGATTGCAGATTGTCGAGCGGAAACACAAAGGCTTGTTTATATTTTCAGGGACTAACTCATATTTGTAATGAACTACTTTTTTTAAATGAGACTCTGTGTGTTAATCCACAGAAACCAACAACAGGTTTTTGGACTGATATGAGATGATGCACTCACCAGAGAGTGCAGTGCAAACTTTAACTGACCAAATATAAATACAAAAAACAAAGTAGAAGTAAAAGCGAGACTGATAGAAATATTTAGTTAATGTACTCACTGAGGAGGAGGAGGCAGATCAAAGTGTGCCTGACGTTCATGTTTGAGGATGTGATGGTTTAACGGTGCCTGTCTTCTGTCTTCAGGAATTGCTTTACTTCTGTAAAAGATGAGCGTCCTCCTCCAAACACTCTGAACTCTACTTGTTCATGCCATTATATTCAAGTATATGTTTCACATTAAAACTGGACTTGGTTGTAACTTCATGTAAACGTCACTTTAAAACTACCAGGTTACTAGCTTCAAATACTACATTTCTTGTTTAAAAATTTAAAAATAGTGTTTATAATTTTGTATTCATGACACTTCTTATAAAAAAACATCTTCGAACACATCACCATTTTTCTTAATTTGTTTATTTTGTGGTTTTTAAAAAAAAACATAATTCCTTTAATATAAATCGTTTAAAAGTTATGCAACATTTTATCTTGCTTTAAAACTTGTGGCTATAAAAATAACCCTACACCGGCTTGGTTCCTGTTTCTTAGAAGGCAGCAGGATACTACAACATGCACTGATGTTTAACCATTTTTAGAACACATTTTTGAGACACATTTTTTTAAATGTGTCTCAAAAGAAGAAAGATGTCTCAGTGTTGCTTACTGTCTTCTGAGAAGTGTCTGCAGTGGAAAGTGGAGAGACCAGACATCTCTACAGGAGGATATCTGCTCCCTCTGTCCTCCTCTCTGACCTCCTCACACTCTCTGTCAGCCTGCAGGACGTGAGGACAGGTTTGTATTAATATCAGCTGTTTGCACAAACATTACAAACACTGAGATGAACTCAAACTCACCTCTGTGACATACTCAGCTTCATCAGCAGTTTCTAAAATACATCACATTCAGAAGATTAGGTCCAAAGGATTGCTTTTGTTTCCTGTGAACTCACCTCTGTGTTTCCTGGCCCTCTTCCTGCAGAATATCAGCACAGACGCTGAGAGTACGAGGAACATGACGACCAGAGTCAGACGCACATACAGCACCACACCTGAGAGCAGAAGAACACTTTGTTTACTCGGATACTTCCTGGTCCATAAACACAAACAACAAACTAAAAGTACTGTGACCATCTGAAGCTGTCTGTCCCTGTGGAGGCTGCGTGGTGCGTTCAGGGGAGGCTGAGGAAGGTACGGAGCTCAGACTCTGAGTGATGGTCAGTGTGGAGGCTGATGTTGGAAACGGTCCGAGAGTCACTTTTGGTTTTGAAGAGGTTGGAGCTGTGAAACAAAAGAAAACACAAAAGACAATCAGATACTGATTGTAAAAATAACTTGGCGCTATAACATGTCACTGAAAGTAACATGAATTTAAATGTAAATGTATCAGTGTATTTCTAATCATATGACTAAATGCACAAGATATGAATTGTTTGGTGCAACAACATTTAAATTAACTGAAGTGTGTGACGTCTGAGGTTACCATATGTTTCACAGATGAATGTTCGTGTTTAAAGGAGCATTGATCAGTGTTCAGAGTATTGTGTTACACTGAACATATTGTGGTATTTAGAAGAGCAGCCACGGTCAAGGGAGAGATCAATCGAACCTATCTAGAAAAGACTCACCATCTTCAACTCTGATCTCAAACTCCATGTATGACGGTGAAAACACTCGGCCAAAGCCACATTTGTACCGTCCTGCATCAGACTTAGTCAGCTTTGTGATGCCCACATACAGAACTGTATTAGAATACGGAAAAGCAGTCCCTTCTTTAAATCTGATGCTGTATCTCCCTTTCTGGGCCGTGTCGGCGGTGGTTTGGAGCAGAGTGTCTCCTTTTCCACACTCTCCCTTACAGAAGATCTTCCTCTTTCCGGATAAATAGAAGGGGCATGAAACTGTTATGTCTCCTCCTTCAGTTCCTGTACGGACGACGCTTTCACTGTTTCCATCCCGCTGTGCTGTTGAAAAGAAGATCAATGAATAGTTATGTACTCATGTATGCAGCTGCAGTTTAACATATAACATATCCTGTTTTACAATTAAAAAGATCAGGATTTGAATTAATTAAAATTCATAACATTGTAAAATCACATTTTCTACAACTAATTTCAGTTTGAAACATTTGTAATGCTTCAAAAGAGACTCATGCTAACATGTTAAACTCTATATTTATATATAGTCAATGGTTAAACCACAGAGACCAACAAACTGTTGTTGGACTGATATGAGATGATACAATCAACAAAACAATGCAGTGAAAACTTTAGCTGACCTACTGCAGATTATATAAAGAACAGTAAGACTAAACAATAGAGACTGATATACATATGAAGTGTGCGTACTCACTGTGGAAGAAGAAGCAGACCAAAGCGACAAGCCAGACGTTCATGTTTGAGCCTCTGATGGTTTAACGCTTCCTCTCGTCTGCACAAAACAGGAAGTGCTTCACCTTTCTAAAAAGGATGCAGTCCCTCTGCTCTAAATACATCCACCACTCTGAACTCTAATTTCTCCTGCATGAATCTTCAACTTTATGTGTGATTTTACATTAAAACTACACCTGGATGTGGTTACTGCAGAATTAAGTAATCATTTTGTAAAATAATTTCATGTGTTGCCATCATTGAGTCCTTTGTTTCTGTTTTATTAGTCAAAACATTGACAGTTTTGCACCCTCTCAAACACTTCTTGTTGTTTAATAGTGTGGGGGAATCTTCTGTGTACAGTAGCAATGCAGTGGGACTCACCGACTCATGAAGGAGAAACGGGGAGCGCAGGAGCTTTGATGTCAAACACTGATGGTTTATTACGAGTATCAGCCGGAGGATTCACATCACAACTCACACAGCCAGAGCTTCTGACTGCATGGGAGGGTTGACACGTCAATTTTGAAGAGCCTCTCTCTCGATGGACCTTTTAACTAGTTCAGAGAGAGTAATCAAAGATATTTGGGGAGATAGACTAAACAGCTGGGAACACTGAATCACTTGCGTCTGACCCTTATGGCCTCGAAGCCAGCGTTCTCACAAACATAAACCACTTGTGACCGAGAGTTGAACGGTTATAAACTGGGAACAGCAACATTTTGGCTGAAGCAGCCCACTCCTTAAGGGAGATAACAGACGTCAAGGTTGGTCATAAACGTCAAAGGGCAAAAAGGTTTGATATCTAGTTGTAAAGGAGAATTA